GGGCAGCCGCATGCTCTGGCGTAAAACTCACAAAGAGTCACCATTTCCAAATTCCAGCCAGCCTCCACACTTTCGCCACGGGTGGTTGTTCTTATTGGTCGAAAAATTGGTGATTTGTTCAGCGCGGCAGAGTAACATGCACTGGCTCCGTTTGGACGCGCCAACGTTATAGGTTGTGTAACAACGACATGGAGTGGTACCTCGATACCGATCATGTACGGTAATGTACAACCAGGCGACCAATCGACGGTCATGCTCGAGCATGATTTCTGACCAATTGCCGAGGGCGGATTTGACAGCGTACATGAACCTAATCCTGCGTTCATGAAACTTATCCTCACCGCCAACCTCTGAACATGAGCTTTCATGCCACATCACGACCGTCACAGCTCCCCTCTCTCGTACCCTTTCCCTCCATGATAGCTATCAACAATCATCCAACCTTTGTGCTCTTTGTGGTTTGTTTCTTGTAGGGTACTCGCGATACCTTAGTCATTGCAAATTTCCAGCTATTCGGTGGCGTTTAGCGTTCTGGGCGTGTGATGGATCTTCGTAGCAAAACGGTCCTCGGTAAACTGCAGGATGAGTCGGGCCACGAGGAATCCGACGGCGGTGAATCGCACGATTCGGACGTCAAGCTCGTCACCGACGAGCACGGGAAAGGCAGGAGAAAGGGGAAGCAACGGAAAGGACCGGAGAAGCAGCCTAGCACCGGTGGCTTCAACTTCAAAACCAACATAGTGAACAAGGAGGTGTTGCTGCCCGTCGATGACATCATCACCGCCTTCACCAAAGGTCGTGGGCCGCCAGCTCAAACTAAAGGCTGTCGCGGCCCTACCATCAAGAGTCAGCACTTCCCAACGAAGCCGTTGTACAACGCCCTCGGCCAAAACGCCTTCGTGAGCCCTCTCGACGCGATGCGCATTCAGGATGGATACGAGCTCAGCACGGCGTTAATCGACTTCCACAACATGTGAGTGCGTTGTTCCCGCGGGGTAAGCACACTCACACTATACTGCCGGCGCCTAACACCGGCTCTCCGTGTCTGTGTATTCACCCCGCGCAGTTTGCTGAGCATCAGGCATTCCAAAACACCAAGCGGGGAGACATGGGTTGCGCTTGACACTGGAGCGTATCTGATGGCGGCGAATCAACAGGTTCTCTTCACTGGCTACGAGGGCGGCTCCATCCTTGACTACAACTACGTCCTTGTAGTTGTTACTACACTGTAAGACATGCATGCACAATCTCAATGTACGCGCGTACCGCGGCATCGCCATGCTGTGTACTTACATTTACGTTGGTATTGTGGCAGTGAGCCAAGGCATTTCAGCCTTGTTGTTGTCAAGGAGCCTGGCAGGGCAAGAACAACTGCTATAAAATCGGGGAACACGGAGCTTCCGGTGGCCTACCTGTTCGACTCGACTGGTGATCATCGGAACATGGCTCCGTCGGTGTTCGCCGAGATCCAAACGTAAGTTGCACGGGCATGCATCGCCTCCTAAGTTTCGTCGTGCTTATGATCGCATGGTTGCTTTGCCGCTTGTAATGCACTAATGCATGCATCGTTGCTGTGTCCTGGCTGCTCGGTCTGGCGCTACAAGCCGAGGAGCCCGGCCTCTCTGCCACTGAAATCAAGCAGCGGCTTGATCCGATGCCTTGCGTCCCGCTTGGGGTAAGCACTCAAATCTTTCGCGCAGCTTTCTTTTAACAGACCTCATCCATGGAACGTCCATCAATGTTGCTCACCTTGTTTGTTTTCGCGTGTGCAGTACTATCAGTGCCCGATGCAGGCCAATCAAGTAGACTGTGGTGTCTACGTTTGCATCTACGCATCTGAGCTGGTTGCCCGTGGCTTCGCTAATCTGGACAATGGGCTGCCAGCCTTGCCCTATGGTGGTGGCCTTTTCCGGAGGGGGATGCGTGGGGACATAGTCGAACATGCACTCAAGCGGTTGATCCCAACCCTGGAGAGGTCTGGAGTTATGGTGCCCCACCAAGATCCGCCGCTGAGCAAGCGCGTGAACAAGCCAGTGTCTCCGGAGCTGGCCGAAATCGACGCGAAGCTGCGTGATGCTGTCGGCGACATCCACAACATCACCTGCCGCGTGGGGTACTGTGAGAAAGACATCACCAAGCTCGAGCTCCTCGTGGAGAGTCTCACCAACGACTTGTCCACCACCCGTGACGAGCTCACCGCGTTGTCTGCGCAAGTTGCAGCCTTCCAAGCACCGCCGCAGCAGGGGCGTATTGGAGGAGCGGGCGGACCCAGCGCGAGAACCGACGACCCTGCCACCCAGCAAACCCTGGCGCCGACTGCGCAACTCGAGCAGCAAGGGGATTCTCATCAGATTCAAGCGGCCCACGGCGTTATCAACGGTCTGCTGCACGGTACGACCGGCGATGCATTGACCTCGTCTCGTCGCGGTGCGCGCGGTGGAGCTCTGCCTGCCCCTTCGGAGGATCACTCTGGGTGTATGGGCCCGCCGCCACTGCCATCACACTCTGTCGGGGGAGTGGGTGGATCGGGGGAGTACGCGGGTGTTAGGCTCCTCCCAGACGGAACTTGGCAAGCGAAGATTGTCCCTGAGCCCGGGCCATCAAGGACGCTGATTCTTGGCAACTTCCAAGACCAGCAGCAAGTGGCCCGCGCGTTCGCTGCAGCTGCAGCCGTGATCAGGCGGAGCAAGCCACCGCGGGGTCGTGTGTGGCAGCTCACCGGCGAGGAGATGGACCTGCTGGATGGCTGCACGGCCGACATCGTGCGGCAGCTCACTACCGCACGCGTCTGGGGGCGGTGGGAAAGGTGGCGCGTCGAGCTTGCTTCCCTCGGTGGTGCCAACCCCGCCCTTGCACCCCCCGCTGTCGTGGCAGCAGCGCCAACCGCACCCGCAGCTGCTCCAACCACACTTGCCCCGGCGAATGCAGGCATCGCCCCTCCTGCCGTGGCTCTTGCACCTGCACAGCCCACCCCTCCCGGTGGAGCTACTGCTGTGCACGTCGGAACAACTCCTGTGCCTGCGGGGGTTACTCCCGCCCCACCAGCCCATTCTACGCAAGCCACATTGACCAACCCCCCTGTGCAGGCTGATGTGGTGGCGTTTGCCTCGCTGTCGTTGCTAGAGAGCGACGAGGGGGATGTGGGCAACAACGCGACAACCCACCCGCCAGGTATTGATTAGTTGCATCGGGGTGTTGTTATGCATCAGGGTGCGCACTAGCCAGGGTTTAGACATTAACCTGCTGTTGTCGTCTTCAGTGTGTCAGAGCCCAACAGCTGACGAACGTGTGACGATGATCCAATGCGGCATATCGTCGTGTAATCTCTTTTGCTTGGAGCTGATTTTCATGAACACTATGCTGTTTTTCGCTCTATGGCCTTTGTTGCTCTTTGCGGGGTTTGTAGGACTGTAGCAATAACAGTATGTTGAAGTGTTGGCTGTCAGCCTTGTTTTTGAGTTCACTAAAGACCCCAACCTGGTGGCAACAAACCCAAACGATAGCGCACCAGCTCACCAGCCGGCCCAATGTGTGGTGACATGGGAGTACGGCCTACGATCATGACAGCACAGACCATCATGAACTCGTCGATAGTCATGCGGGATTTTTCATGACGCGTGGTGGTTCCGCACGCCACACCACCACGAATTATCACCCCCCTACTGCGCGACCCGATAAGCTATAACGATCGGGTACCAGTGACAAATCGTGGCTTTTTATAACGGCGTCTGCAACACTTTTTATTTCGGTTGTAGAAATGCAGAGGAAACAACTCAAACAGTGACAACGGCCATGAACACGGGTTTAGGGGCCATAAACGGTATCTAAGGTCTCACAGAATTGATAATGCCGTGTTCCACAACCCCGGCGCAAGACACTTGCATAAAGAGAGTAGCATGGTACAACAGATTTTTCATAAAACACTATCTTTTCACTTGTTGTCCCGAGTACGCATAGTACCCCGCCTCAGGGTCTGTGGTGTGCGATTGGTAGCCTTAATCAGAGTTTTCATTCAGCCATTGAGCTCAAGGGCTCAGCACATCATGGTCAGTGGTGTGCTTTGGACTAGCATCATCTCCTGGTCAGTGGTACGCCAGTGTCTACCTTAGTGAGGTGATCCTGAGGAAATTATGAACAATGACAATAGTAGCAAATCTCATGCTCCATGTAACGTAGTGGTGTTTTTTTACCAGAGTTATGGGGTGCGTGCTGTAAGTATCGTGGCTGCTGTGGGATCAGTTTTGTTGCTATGGTGTTTTGCTGGGCGCCACAGTTGCGTGTTAACATGTAGTCAATGTTTGGAGTTTTAATTATAGCGGTGGCATTGTGCACGCCATATTTTATTAGAGAATGAGGGTGTATAATTTTTCACAACATCGGCACAACGAATACGCACATCGAATGACACGCAATAAAGGGGCCATTCTCGGTTCATGTTCCTTCGCGCAAATTAGGGTCAACCCCGACGACGAATCATGTGGCAGGCATCACGTCCATGACAGTTCATGTTCGTCCGTGCAGGTAGTCAACTTCCGAGCCACTCCCACGAGTTTGTTCATGATTCATCGTGTAGGCATTCACGCGCGACTTTCAGGCCCCGCGCTTGTTAGCTGTTCGAATCATGACAGGTCGAGATGCGTTGACGCACTATGGAGAGTACATGATTCGTCATGAACAGCTGCGCGGCATCGCCCCGCGATTTCCAGGCCCTCGAATCATGCATGTACAAGAGTCGATCATGACGCTATATGCACAGGTGATGGAGAAAGCAGACGGAGTCAAGTGCACACTTTACACACGTGAATCGCCTATCTTCCTGGCCTGATTTGTTTGGGTGTTCTTGAATAAGTATTGCACACCAGCACCACTCAAATGAACAATTATGTTTCGTGAATTAAATCATTCAGTACTCTCGTCACTGAAAAGTATGCTTCGGGAGGGATCCAAGGACACAAAACAAGGCCCAATACTCGCATGGGAAAGCCAGTTTTACTCGCCATTCATTCAGGGGCAGCTTGGTGCCCCCCTTCATGCTCTCCTGTAGCAGTTCCATCCTCCCCCTCCTCCTCCTCCTCCTCCTCCTCCTCCACCTCCTCCCCCACCGCAGCCTGCGCCTGACCGTACCCACCGTACTTGTACTTGCACCTTTTGCGGTTGTGCCCATACTGTCGGCATCGCCCACACCGATAAGCGTGCGGTGGTGCCTCAAACCGGGTGTGATTCTCTGGCCTCCCAACCCTCGTCTCAATCAGCGCTGGTGCATCGCACTCGCCCACTTCTGCCAGTGGAGCCTCCATAATCAGCCGGTCCACACAGGTACCCATCACATCCCGGTTGTATGTCTGGCGAAGATTGCGAGTGGTGTAGTACTCAGACACAAGGATCTCCACACTCCGCTGCTTCAGAATGCACATTGCCACGGCGTGGGCACAAGGGAACTGGTACTCCTCCCAGTTCCCGCACTCGCACGTCCGGGCATCGAGGTTCACGTTGAAGCTCCGCCACTGGAACTGGTTTTCCCCCCCCCCTGGTCTGGATGGTTCCCACAGTGTTGTTCCCACCGATGAACCAATACCCCTGGCACCTCTGCTTCTTTTGGTCCAGACGTTTCGATGCGGCAGCCGTGAGATACTCATCCCTGCAGCGCGCCTTCTCCTTCCTCTCATACCAGTTGTCGCGAGACCAATCCCAAAGGGATGCCAGGAGCCATGTTGGTGGCAGCATGCAGATGCCGCGGACAGCGCTGTTGATGGACTCGGCGGCGTTGCTTGTGTAGATGCCAAAACGCAGTGTCACCGCAAAAAGACGGGCCCAGTGCAGCAGCATGATTCCCCCAATGCGATAAGATGATCCGGGCCTGTTACGATAGAACCCGGTGCGCACATGTATTCCGGGTTCTCCCTCACCATCGGCCGCCTCATCCCCATCCTCCCTAGCATCCACTGGCACCGGATCATCCTCACATGCTGGCTCGTCCGGCCCTTGCGCAGGAATGTTCCCCCGCTGCCCGCAGTCTGGCCATGGCAGAGCCAGAGCCGATGCTAGGTGGAAGTGCTCAGTAAACCCACCCATCTCTGATCCCTGAGTGCCCGTGGTCCTCCCCGTGTCAATGTCCTCTGCCCGGTACCACTCCCGGGCACGTCGCAGGACCGTGTTGACGTCAAATGCTCGTGCACCCGGGTTCCCCACAGTGGTGAGAGCGCCTATCCCATCACCCGTGGAGCATGATGCCAAACCATTATCACTCACACATGCTGGAGCTCGCTGCACGTCGTCCCCAGAGGGCACTGGTGAGCCCCCCCTTCCAACGAACCCCACCCCACCCATGAAATTCGCGCCCAGGCCAACCCCAAACGTAACATCACCGCGTGGCCCGCTTTGGTGTCGCCTGGGTCCTGCAGTCTGAGGACTGGACCAAGACCTTACCAATTCACCGCTCGCAGCATATACACTATCTCTTGCTCCAGGGCCGAACAACGGCTCCCCCCCATCCGCACTCCCGATGCCTGACCATCTTGCTCCGGCACGTCCTCGCCCTCCAGAAGCATCACCAAGCGGGACTCCTCTCCCTCCACCTCCAATGCCTGACCATCCTGCTCCGGCCCCCATCTGCCCTCCAGGAGCCCCACCAAGCGGGACTCCCCTCCCTCCACCTCCAATGCCGGACCATCCTGCTCCGGCACCCCCCTGCCCTCCAGGAGCCCCACCAAGCGGGACTCCCCTCCCTCCACCTCCAATGCCGGACCATCCTGCTCCGGCACCCATCTGCCCTCCAGGAGTCCCACCAAGCGGGACTCCCCTCCCTCCACCTCCAATGCCGGACCATCCTGCTCCTGCACCCCCCTGCCCTCCAGGAGCCCCACCAAGCGGGACTCCCCTCCCTCCACCTGCAATGCCGGACCATCCCGCGCCGGCATCCCCCTGCTCCCCGGCGGCCCCACCGAGCGGCACTCCCCGTACTCCACCACCAACCCCCGTGAAGTCTGATCCGGCGCCCCCCTGCCCTCCGCAATCGCCCGCGGGGGGCACTCCTCTACCTCCCCTGCCAAGGCCCGCCCCTGCAACGCCACCGCCTCTCCCTCTGCGACCACGTCCAGATGAAGCTCGTCCTCGCCCTCCACGGCCGATGCCAAAAGCAGCCGCTCCGCCATCCCCTTTGTCTGGTATCCCTGATGGGACTCCAATACCCTCGTGCGCTCTGGCCCGTCTTCCAGGTGCGTTCATCCCCCCCCTGCCAGCCAGACCGCCGCCACGCCTGTTGTACGCGGACGTGTTGCCCTCCGGGAACCCACTCCCTTCGGGTTGGGACGCGGTGTCGACGCCACCATTTCCCGCGTTGCCACCACGCTCCTGCCCTCGCTGTGCCCTCCTCCCTTCGCGAGCATCCGCGAACACGAAATCCCTGGCCCCCTCAAATGTTGCCCGGGCTCCAGGAGGGGGGACCTGAGGAGCCGGCTGGGGCTGTGGCTGTGGCTGCTGCCGGACAGGCCCGAACAGATATGCGGCCATGTCAGGAAAATCTCGTCGTGCGGCCCCGACAAGCGCAACCCATTTCGTTTCACACCGACACTTCACCAAGCGCCAGAAGAACACTGTTGCCGCTTTGCCGAACCGCTTAAGGTTCTGCTCCAGATGCCAGGCACAGAAATAATGGGGGATGTGGCTTGGCATCACCTCCCTTGCTGCCGGCACCAACCCCTTATCGCGATCGCTGATGATGGAGGCATCGTCCTTACGCGCCCACTCTGGGAACCCCTCAAGGAACAGCTTCAGAAACCAGGTCCACGCGTCCTTGTTCTCCGACTCCACCAAGGCCCATGCAAGTAACAAAATCTCCTGGTTCCCGTCAATGGTGACGGCGATGAGCAGCACAGCCTTCTGCGCACTAATGAGATGTGTACCGTCGAGCGCAACAACCGGGCGGCAATAATTTAACGCATGCCGTGCTGCAGAGGGACGCACGTAGAATCGGTGGAAACACCGATCTAATGTGTCCAACCGCACTTGAACTTCCGGATCGATGACTGTGAAACGAGTGAGAAGCCACGGAACCTGGCGAAAGGACTCCTTCCAATCTCCCTATCGCTCCTTTAAGATGTACTCTCGAAGCCGCCAAGCCTGCCAGTAGTGGATCACTACCCTTCCATGACCCTCGAGCATTCTTTTGAGCTCCACGGGTGAGATGAATGGATTTGCACGGACCAAATTGCCGTATCGCCGAGCGAGGATGGGAATAGTGTTGGCTAACCCCTCGGCGTAACCCTACCTCCAATGCAACGGACACGTATGCATCTCCGGAGGAACGAGTCGCGTAATACGCCATAAACCACCGTGGCCGATTTGCCCATATGTGCAGCTCCATAGGCACGCGGGTAACCATCCGTCCGATGAAGCCTTGCATCCAACCACTGCGTAGTTATGCTTCACTAAAAGGACTTTTACACCAAACCGATGCTCTAGAGCGTACGCATAAACGACCTCCTTGCATTTATCACGGCTAGAGTACAGCCCCCCCAGCTCCAATGGCGCGTAATCATTAGGCCTGTCGTACCTAGGGTTGAACTCGGGAGCCGCATTAAGCTGTCGCAAGGCCTGCGCTAAGGGATTAGAGGCCATACGCACGCGTTAGACGCTACATGGTGACCAGTTTTGTCAGAGATAAGCTATGACTATTGAGTGGAGTACTAATGCGGGCCCGGATATGAGTTGCCTAAAGTAATGACTGCGTTGAGTGTCTACCCGGTATTGTAAAACGGGAGACTCGCCTAAGCTTCACAGGAACATGATGCTAACGGAAGGGTTCATGAACCGTTGAGGATCACGAATGCTTCGATCATGAAACCGTGAAGGCCGGAAATGACATGGCCAGATCCCGAAGGACACAGTACAATCAACCTGTATATAAGCCTCTCGAGTTATAATACATGGCCCAGAAAATTCCTAAATTTTGCTGGGACAAATGATGTGGCTTCCTGCACGTTCAATTACACGTGGCATGGGGTTGGTTGGTTGCTTTTCGTCACTGCTTGTGGCAATTCCGAAGTTCACGCGAGAGCATGCGGCTGCCCGAATGACGGTGGGGAAAGGGCGGGAAAAGGGGGCTGGGGTGGCGGGGGGAAGGGAGGTCCATCCAATTTAGAAAAACGCCCACGTGGCGAGCGGGGAGCAATTTAGGTCGATTCAATTGAGACAAACACGATTTTCGCCGATGCGCGCGATTTCGCCCATTCAGCCTTGAGGTGTGGATCTCGACAATTGCGAACGGATCCTCAAGTTACCATTCTGTCGCGAATGTTCTGATGGTGGCGTGGCATGCCAGCAGGGCGTGTGGAGCTGTACCAAAAATCTCTCGAAGCCTGCGAGTTCTGAGGAATCAGGGCAGTGGCTGACCCTGTTGACGAACACAATCCTCGTCATTCGCTCTCGCAATAACGGAACGCGCGTTTCCAGCGTGAGCGCGTACTGAACCCCACGGCGAAGGAGATCATAATCAAAGGCGTACCTGCGGAAACGTCGGCAGAACTGATCCGTCGTCTGCTGGTGGTGTCAAAGCTGGTGAAGCGTGGCAGGAGCACGTTTGCCAGTGGTTTCGGTTTTCACCGGACAGTCGACCCTGTGTCAGGCTTGGACACGGATCGCATCCGTGGATTGTTCGTCCCCCATGCTGACGACGAGAACCGCTGGCGCACCTTTGTGGAAGATCCCACCACAGGGAAACGGTACCTGCTTCACTACCCGTCGCTGACCTGTGACTTCTGTGGTGGTCAGCACATGACTCGCTATCACGACCGCTATGTCACCCCGAGACAAGACCATTTCAACAACTGGAATGTGACGGTTAAGAAGGTTCACCAGATGAATGGTACAAGCAGAGAGAAGTTATACCTGCCTCCGAAGCCCGCTTTCCCGCTCGTCTTTCACTTCTTACCGCGTACTGACGATTGTCTGCTCCTCTCCCCCCGCAGCTGCGTCCCTGAAAGCTTCAGATCTCCTGAAGCGAATCATGCGAGACCCTGCGATCATCCTCACTTCCACTGGAGGCACACGGGAGGAATGGGTCTGCGTCCAGGCAGGATGCGAGAAGGCGCAGGGGATCCATTTCGAGCAGGCTTCGTCTCACATTGTATCCGCTCGTCACAAGGAGGTTTTGCGGAAGGAGAGTTCAGCAACACGTGTCGGCACGTTCCCTCAGAAGATGATATCCTTCAAGAAGGAGTTCCTGACAAAGCCAAAGAAGTAGTGCGTGTTAGCAGGATCACAGCAGCTGTACGCATCGGCAGAGGAATAAGAGAGGTAGCTGGAACCAACGGCTTACCTGCTCCAGTAGCATTGTGTACCTTTATAGCCCGTGGATGCGAAGGGGCTTCACAGTTGTTGATTAATGGATAAGGCCCACAAAGTTGTTTTGTGCGAGTTCAACATCAACGGACTCGGCGGGGTAGAGAAACAGAGGAAATGCAAGGAATGGATGAGAGAGAAGACGGATGTGGCCATAATCAGTGACACGAGGTTGCAGGCTGACCACAATTTCTGGACTGATATAACACCAAGTGCTACTGCAGTGTGTGGACAAAACCCTGGTGAATCGGCGGGGGGGGGTTGCTATAGTGAGCTTCGTACCTGGGCTGGTCTTCGCGAGCAGTTTCACCCATGACTCTGGCAGGCTCCTGGCGGTGGTCGTTCGCTGGGGTGGCCTGGAGTTCCTGCTGATAGCATCATACATCCCGGCTCAGGCGGTGAACAGGAGTAGTTTCTACAGAGACAGCCTGGAGCCGTTTCTGCAATCCCTGCCGGTGTTTCACCACATTCTGGTGATGGGTGACCTCAATGTGGTCGAGGATCCGGACCTGGATCGCACCTCACAGGCTGGCTCCTCGGCAGAGAATCACCGCCTCTTGAGCTGCTGGAGGAATACGGACCTGCGGGATGCTTTCAGACATATCCACCCGGACAAAAGGGAATACACCTTCTTTGCAAGAGCAACGAGGTCCAGCTCAAGGATAGACAGGGCACTAATCTCACAACCACTGCTGAGCAAGCTGGTAGAGGCGAGGCATGTGGCGATTACCAACGGAATGACTGATCACTGGAGCGGGATAGGGGTGGTGCTGGAGTCGGCGGAGGCTGTGAAAAACGGGCCGGGCATCTGGAGGTTACGGGCAGATCATACACAGAAGCAAGGAGTACAGAAAATCATCAAAAAAATCATCGAGGAATCAGCAGGAGCATCAGTTGACGAGCTGCTGGAGAGACTAACCACATGCTTGAAGGCATACTCGAGGGAAGAAAGGAAACGAGAGAAGGCCACGCAACTCCATCTCACCAGGGAGGTGGAACGGTTAAGGTTGCGTGTGTCCAGATACCCGCACTGCCAACGAACGGGGAGGACTCTACTTCGGAAAGAGGAGCTGCTGGAGGCATATGAGAGGAGCCATAAAGAACAGTTGCAGTTATGGGCAGGCATCGAAGCGGAGATGGACGGGGAGGTGGCGTCGGGCACTCTATCGGCGCAAATCAAGACTCGCAAGGCAAAAACAACAATTCGGGAGGTAGCGCGGAACGGGAGCCTGTTCTCGGGGGTGAAGGAGGCTCTCTCGGCGGCGACATCTCACTTTCGTGATGTCTTTGGGTGTGTCAGCAGCAGCGCGGTACCTGCCACAGAAGATCATCCCATGCAACGGCGATTGGGGGAAGCAAGTAGAGGAGCGCTGAGTGCACCCTGGACGGAGGACGAGGTTCGGAAAGCAATACGGGAACTTGCCCCAAGGAAATCACCGGGCGCTGACGGGCTGCCTAAAGAGCTCTTCGATTACAACTGGGGGCTGCTGGGACCAGTGCTGATGGACCTGGTGAGGATTTTCACGGGCGGAGAGGCGTTGCCGCACACGGTCTCAACAGCTGTGACCATCCTGCTGCATAAGAAGGGGGATAAAGGCGACCTGGGGAACTATCGGCCGATAACGCTCCTTAGTACGGTTTACAAAATCATAGCAAAGGTGATGGCGAGCCGGCTCAAGGTGGTGTTGCACGAGGTCATCTCGGAGGACCAATACGGGTTCCTACCTGGTAGGCAGCTGGCGGACGCGGTGTCGGTGGTCGCGGATGCCATAGAAGCAGGAGCGAATGGGAAAGAGGACTGGTACCTGATGATGATTGATTTTCAAAAGGCTTTTGACTCAATCTCGCGGGACTACCTCTTTGACACGTTGCGGAAGCTGGGTTTGCCAGAGGTTTTCGTATCCTGGACAGAGGGGCTGCACAAAGACGCGGGGACGTGCCTGCACATCAATGGCTGGACAGGAGACAGGGTGGCGGTGGAGAAGGGAGTGCGCCAAGGCTGCCCGCTGGCGCCGTACCTCTTCCTCTGTGCAGTAGAGCCGCTGTGCCAAGAGTTTAATCGGAAAAAGCTGGGAATCGGGAAGCGAGGTGTGGGCACGCTAGCATACCTGGGTTACGCTGATGATACATCACTGTTACTGCGCGGAGCAGAGCAGCTGGAAGCAGCGGCGGATGTTCTGACAGTCTTCGGAAGAGAGTCAGGGCTGGTGATGAACGAGGGGAAAACGGTAGTCTTCCCGCTGGGGAAAAACCGTGGGAAGCCGCCACCGCACAACCTGCGTTACAAATGGGCGGACAAGGAGGAGCCGGAGCGACTGTTGGGGATCTGGATCACGCTGAATGGTGACCCAACTCCATCCTGGAACAAAGCATTGGGCAGGGCGAAGGGAGAGTTAGCAAAGTGGGAGATGCAACACCCGACGACATCGGCGAGAGTGACGATAATCAACAGCTACATCACTCCGATTTTTCTTTTCCAGGCACAAATATACCTGCCGCCGGAGGCCATCTGGAAGAAGATTCGCAAGATCTGCCACACCTTCGTCTCGAAGGGAGAAGCAGCGGAGGAGAAACGCTTCATCCTCTGGAACTATCAACTGGTCTGCACACCGCGGAAGGGCGGGGGGCTGGGTCTGATTTGCCCCGAGCAGAGGGTCAACAGCATCTCCATTCGGAACGTCTGCCGTCTGATGCTGCGGCCGAGCTCCGTCAAGAAGTGGCTGGCGGAGAGGGCGGCGGAGATGCCCCTGGGGCTGGACACAATCTTCGCGCACAAATCGCTGCTAGACCACTAGGAAAAGGGGAGCGCCCGCTGGAAGGAGTTAATCGTGAAATTTTGGGATTCACCGCTGTACAAGACACGTGCCCCGACGAACCGTTGGGAGGTGGAACAGGAGCACCTGGCTTTCAACCCAAACATCCCTTACAGAGGCGCAAGTCCTTTCGGGAACCACAAAGGAACGGAGGCGTTGCTGGGCTTACGTATGGGGGACCTGATCGTCAAATCACGGGATGGAACATGCGAACTCAAAAAGCTGGAGGCACTGGCAAGAGAGCTGGGGAACAAGGAGAAGGCGAAATGGGCGTTGAGGGCTTTTCAAGCTGCGCCCCCGGGCTGGAGGGATATAATACTCACAAAGATGACGAGCGAAGAGGTGGTGGCCACGGTGAAGCTACTGCGTTCGCACAACGCCGGGACTGAGAACTTCACTTACTGGAAGGTCGAGGGAGCAAAGGATGATAAGGTGGTGGGAATCCTGTGCAACGTGGGAAGCGGTGGATATTTCACGCCCTACGAAGGCAACCTCACGGTGGACTTTGGGCTGCGCAGCGGGGTGCCGATGTACACGGAGGGCCATAATTTTCTGGGGCCCATGGGTGACGTACGAACGAAGCTGCTGCTCTCGCAAGCATGTGAAGGGGGAGAATTAATCTCGCTGCGACGGATAAGGATGGTGCTGGCGAGCGCAGCTGTACCACATGAGGATCAGAGGAGGTGGGAAGGGCAAAGGAGGGAAATTGAGTGGGACAGAGTCATAAGGCAGAGGGACTCCCTTGCCACCCCACGACGGGCACGTGAGATCCTGCTACGGCTCCACTGTAGAAATCTGCAAGTGGGCTCGAGACTTTTCTTCATGGGGGTGGTCTGCCCGCACTGCCGAGGGGAAGAAACCCCGGACCACTGCCTTCTCAGGTGCCCTGCAGTACAGGGGGTGACGGACGTACTCAGACGAGGGTTGGAGGTGATGCACCCGAACCTAGCGTGGCTGGATCTTGAAGACCTGCTTTTCGCGCAGAGAAACACGTTGTCGAGTTTTCCGGAAGGGACGTGGATCGCAATCTTCCTGCAACAGGTGTGGCTAGCAAGGTGCAATGCAGCGTGGAGAAACGAGGTTTTTCAGGCCGGGAAAGTGGCTCGGCAGGCGATGATAAGGTTCACCGCTCACGTCAGGATGTACTGCTTGGCGCGCGAGGCGACAGCGCGGAAGAAGGGACAGTTTTCGTATGATGTGTGGGCACACCTGGCACATGACGAAGCGGTGGTGATGCGACGCATCTCCAGCAGCGGTGTACCGCTGACGTGGAGGGTCGAATTCAACACAATCTGGAACAATCCCAGAATGACGCATCAGCCACCATAGCTGTCTCAGAGGAGATCTGCGATACTAGCTATTGTAGCGCTCTCCTCCCCATAACAGTTACGACTGTCGATGTCTATACATTCCTGTAATGTATTTGATATCAAAAAAAAATATATATATATATATATAACAGAACCAGACAAGACGTCAAAGACCACTTTGTAATGCTTTCAGCATACACAATTAACATAACTGAAAATGCGAAATATGGCTACTTGTTACGAGTGCAATTGAGTGAACGAACGAGAATTGCACTATCGAAGCAAAGAAGTACAATGAGCGAAGGCATGAGCGAAGGATTATATAGCGAAACAATAGTGGTAACGGTAATGGACTGTGGTTGTCGCACGACGAGCCTGGGGCTGAGGTTGGGAAAGTGTCGAAGCGTAGGCCCGGAGCGCGGGTTACCAGCCGAGCCGTGAGGTCGGGATGCGATTGAGAAAGTGTGAACGAGAATGAATGACTATGAAGTGAAGTGAATACAAATAGGAAACCCTAATTGTGTTGTACCCCCTATGGGATACCCCACTATAGCCTACAGAAACAAGTAAGCTATATGTTCTGACACACCCCCATAGGCAAAGTGGGGGAGAACAAGGGGTCACAAGACCAGTCAAGCAAAGCAAAGCAAAGCTCAGGGTGGATCACAAAGTCACCACGCATTCCGAGCACAAGTTCAAAGGCCAGAAGGCCAGTTCACATGCAAGATCATATATAGAGATATACAAGAGTCAAGCAAGCAAGAGCAAGAGTATATATAGGCGAAGGTACAAGCATGGTCAAGAGGAGAGCAAGTGAGGCAAGACAGGCACAAGACCCAACTGCGTGCAACAACGCTGATGATCACAAGGCGCAAGTGCCTTGGTGAAGACATCAGCAGTGTTGGCCTCAGAGGCCACGTACGCAAGTCGCAACTGTCCACGCTGCTGTAGCTCACGAGCAAGAAAGTAGCGGAGAGCAATGTGCTTCGTTCTGTGCTCCAGTCGGTGCTCTTGACACAAGGCCAGCATGGCCTTGTTGTCTACGTACAGGACTGGAGGAGAACGAGGCTGCTCTCCAAGGTCGGTCAGCAGGTAGGTGAGCCAGCGTAACTCCTGTGCAGCCATAGCCCCAGCGTAGATCTCAGCCTCACAACTGGAGCCGAGAACAGAAGACGAGCGGGTAGCCCGCCACGAGACAGAGCCGGAACCAAGGCTGAAGGTGTAACTCTGTGACGACCGCTGCGTAGCCTGGTCGTCAGCCCAAGAAGCGTCTGCGTGCCCAGTGAGGACCACTGGACTGCGCCCTCCAAGCACTAGCCCCATGCCCGACGTACTGCACAAGTAGCGCAACACCCTCTTCGCTGCAGCCATGTGCTCTGGTCGGTGTCTCCCAGGAGCAACAAAGCGTGCGAGAATGCTAAGAGGGTATGCGAGGTCAGGTCGTGTGCAGGTCATCAGGTACATGAGGCAGCCAACAAGCTCTGCAAACGGGCCACTCGACTCTACGGACTCATCCGAAGGCAGAGCTGAGAGCGAGTGGCGAGTAGGCAGAGGAGTGGCCTGAGGCGAGGAGTACGTGAAGCCGAAGCGCTGAAAGACCTGCTGCACCATGTGTGACTGAGTCAGGGTAATGGTGCGGCGTGCTCTGTCCCGGGTGATCTGCAAGCCAAGGTAGCTGCGCAGTTCACCCAGGTCAGTGCACGTGTGTCTCTTCTGCAGCTCGGACTTCACGTAGGCGAGTCCAGCAGTGTCAGCTGTGGCAAAGACCAAGTCGTCGACGTACACGAGGATGTAGAACGGCGGCAGAGAGGTGTCGGTGCGCAGAAACAGCGACGGGTCGGCAGTAGAAGGAGCAAACCCAAGTGACGCGAGCGTAGTCCTCAGTGTGTCGTGCCACTCACGTGGCGCCTGGCGGAGACCGTAGACTGGACGCCGGAGACTCCACTGGGTACCAGGAGGGAAAGACCCAGTGAAGCCAGGTGGGCGACGCAGCCAGATCTCCTCGTGCAGGCTGCCCTGCAAGAAAGCTGTGCTGAAGTCGAGAGAGTGCAGCTCGTAGTCACGGTGAGCAGCAACGTGCAGCAGAACCCGAAGAGTGGTCATCTTCGGGGTGGGGGAGAAGGTCTGAAAGTAGTCAACCCCCTGCCGCTGACTGAAGCCACGAGCCACGTAACGCGCCTTGAAGACAGGCGGAGAACCCGGCGGCCGCTTCACCCTGAAAATCCACATGCCACTGACGATGTTCGCCCCAGGAGGGGGAACAGCGTCAACGTAGGTGCCTGTGGACTTCCAGGAGGCCATCTCTGCATCCATAGCTGCCTGCCACTAAGAGGAGTAGGGACCCTCTATCGCCTCCGCGTAAGAGCGCGGAGTCGGGATGTCTGGTGCATCCGGGTCTCCCTCAGGGGCTAGCAGTACAGACGCGAGACGAGGTGAAGCGGCGGCCAGACACTGGAACTCCTCCTGCCTGTCCTCAAGGACGTCCGTGCCAAGGGCACACTCACCCCTGACAGACAGAGGACAGGCGGACTCAGACTCAGTGACAAGACGAGCAGCGTAGTCTAGACGACAGCGCGCAGCAAAGTCGACAAGCTCAGTGACAAGGGCAGACGCAGCAGACGACTCGAAGGAAGGGTCAGTGACAGCAGTAGCAAGGAGACGCGTGACAGTAGGACTGGCAGCACGAAGAGAGTCCGACTCCGGGTCGTCAAGAGCAGGAAGAGAGGAAGCAGGAGGAGAAGGCAAAGGGGCACGCAGAGGAGCAGTGGACGGACGCAGTGACATCCGGTGCGTGCCAGGGACAGGAAGAGGACGCTGACGCGACCCGCGACCACTAGCGCGCTCAGTACGAACAGGCGACACAGGATGAGACGCAGGCTCACGACGCTCAGTAAGACCTCCAGTCGGACCAGCGTAGGGAGAAGGAGCAGGCAAAGGGGAGGCTGGCTGTAGCTGTGGTTGCGACCGGACAGGCTGCGGACCCTCTAAGGGAGGAGGAGGAGGTGTAAGACCAAGAACCTGCTGAAGGAGCGGAACGAAGTACGGTCGGGGCCGCGCGGCGATGCTAGAAACAGCAGGAACAGCACCAGCAGCCCCGGCAGGAGCACCCACTCTAGCAGCACCTCCAGCAGCACCACCAGAAGCTCCAGAACCTCCAGCAGCAACACCAGGAGCACTGTCAGTCGGACCGCCAACGGCAGGCTCAGCGCCAACACCCTCAGCAGTACCAGCTCCAGGAGAACTCTCAGACCCAGCAGCTCTAGCACCCACAGGACGAGCACCGACGGGACGCGCGGCAGCAGTACCCTCTGCAGCCGAAGAACCACCAGCACCAGCAGCACGCCTCCAGCGCCTGGCAAACCACTCACGCAGCTCCTGTGGGGAGAGTGGCTCCCGGCGAGACGAAGCACCCCCAGGCACAGCACCCCCAGGCTCAGCACCCCCAGGCTCAGCACCCCTAGGCACAGCACCCCCAGGCACAGCACCCCCAGGCTCGGCACCTCAAGGCTCAGCACCCCCAGGCACAGTACCCCCAGGCTCAGCACCCCCAGGCTCAGCACCCCCAGACTCCGCACCCCCAGGCTCAGCTCCCGCAGCAGCACCAGAGTCACCAGTGACCTTGACAGGCTCGACCGCGTCTACCTGGGACACACCTGAAGGGGCAGGACCCTG